TTCTGATGAGGTTGGGCTTCCTGGTAGCTCAGGAAGTAAAGAATCTGCCTGCAATGCAGGAGATGCGGGTTCGGTTCCTGGGTTGGAAAGATCACCCAGAGAAGGGAATGGCAACCCACTCCAGTATTCTTGCCTGGAGACTCTCATGGACAGAGGTGCTCGGTGATCTACAGTCCATGGGGTCTCAAAGAGTCTGACACATCTTAGCGACTAATGCTCACATAATAGTAAACCTTAGAAAAAACTGATATGTAGACTATCTTGTAATTTTCCTTCCATAACTTTTCTTTCAACTGTAGTGACAAAGTGTGAAAGTGTAGTGCCAAAGAGGGATAACAATATGTGCTAGGTGTGCTGGTCCTGGGTTTGTTCGCCCTCAAATGCTCTCATCGTCCCTTTCCATCACTGTTCTGTATCCAGGAGGACTGGGGTCTGAAGGCTGCTTCGTCCAGATTCCCTATTGACTGCCTTTCACACTGACTGGGAAACACTGACTGGCAGGAGAGCAGAATGAAGAGAAAAGAGAAGAAAGCGTCATTCTGCCTTCCACTGTGCTGGAGGAGGCTTTTCAAGATGAGGTGGCCATCTCCTCTTTTGGTTCTAGTTCTGTTGGCAAGCTTACCATTTGTCCCTGCTTCCACCAGGTTATCCTGGGCCTTTGGCTTCTTTTGCTTCCTCAAGTCCAGCAGTGGGAGCAGCTGCCAGCTATTTCTAATCTCAAGTTCAACTCTCATTTCACTATTTTGTGTTCCAGCTACCCCACCACTTGTGTAGCCCACTCATGCATTAAAGTCTCCCTATAGCAAAATATCCAAAACCATTTGTAACTGGCCCACACTCTGGACTCTGTACACTCTTCTTCCAGAAAGTATACTTCTTAGGAAATAGTCCAATTCTAATCATGTTCTGGTGACAAAATCTATTTTCTATGAAATAGTCTTACAAATTTGCACAGCAGATAACGCCCTACTCCAAAGCAATGAATTTTTTTTCCATTTATTTTTATTAGTTGGAGACTAATTACTTTACATCATTGCAGTGGTTTTTGTCATACATTGAAATGAATCAGCCATGGATTTACATGTATTCCCCATCCCGGTCCCCCCTCCCACCTCCCTCTCCACCCGATCCCTCTGGGTCTTCCCAGTGCACCAGGCCCGAGCACTTGTCTCATGCACCCAACCTGGGCTGGTGATCTGTTTCACCCTAGATAATATACATGTTTCGATGCTGTTCTCTTGAAACATCCCACCCTCGCCTTCTCCCAGAGTCCACAAGTCTGTTCTATACATCTGAGTCTCTTTTTCTGTTTTGCATATAGGGTTATCGTTACCATCTTTCTAAATTCCATATATATGTGTTAGTATACTGTAATGGTCTTTATCTTTCTGGCTTACTTCGCTCTGTATAATGGGCTCCAGTTTCATCCATCTCATTAGAACTGATTCAAATGAATTCTTTTTAATGGCTGAGTAATATTCCATGGTGTATATGTACCACAGCTTCCTCATCCATTCGTCTGCTGATGGGCATCTGGGTTGCTTCCATGTCCTGGCTATTATAAACAGTGCTGCGATGAACATTGGGGTGCACGTGTCTCTTTCAGATCTGGTTTCCTTGGTGTGTATGCCCAGAAGTGGGATTGCTGGGTCATATGGCAGTTCTATTTCCAGCTTTTTAAGAAATCTCCACACTGTTTTCCATAGTGGCTGTACTAATTTGCATTCCCACCAACAGTGTAAGAGGGTTCCCTTTTCTCCACACCCTCTCCAGCATTTATTGCTTGTAGACTTTTGGATAGCAGCCATCCTGACTGGCGTGTAATGGTACCTCATTGTGGTTTTGATTTGCATTTCTCTGATAATGAGTGATGTTGAGCATCTTTTCATGTGTTTGTTAGCCATCTGTATGTCTTCCTTGGAGAAATGTCTGTTTAGTTCTTTGGCCCATTTTTTGATTGGGTCATTTATTTTTCTGGAGTTGAGCTGGAGGAGTTGCTTGTATATTTTTGAGATTAATCCTTTGTCTGTTGCTTCGTTTGCTATTATTTTCTCCCAATCTGAGGGCTGTCTTTTCACCTTGCTTATAGTTTCCTTTGTTGTGCAAAAGCTTTTAAGTTTCATTAGGTCCCATTTGCTTATTTTTGCTTTTGTTTCTAATATTCTTGGATGTGGGTCATAGAGGATCCTGCTGTGATTTATGTCGGAGAGTGTTTTGCCTATGTTCACCTCTAGGAGTTTTATAACTTGGTGCATTCTTATAACAAAGTATTATTCAGGCACTGCTCTTAAGGTTAATATTTATTGACATTGAAAAATATTTTATTTGTTAATGAAGATAATTGATTACAAATGAGAAACAAGTCTCACTTATCCAATTATGTAACTAAACCCTAATAGCAAAGACAGTGCTTTTCTTTTCTTTTCTTCACCCACAGAAAAGAATATAAGAATGCACACGCTTGAGGGGCTGGGGTGAAGGTGACAGACTTTGTCTATGATATTGCCTGGCTGGAGATAAAGCAAATGTCCAGTTGAGGAATGCCTTCCTTTACACTTCTCCCTTGAGAAAACTCTGTTATGAACACTAAACTCCATGTTAATTAGCAACTTGGAGTTACAGATCCCTCAGGTCTTGAACATCTATCTCCTATGTACTTCTCAGTTTTTCCTAATTTGATTTTCTCGAAGGACTACTGCTCAAGAACTCTTTACTTCTGCTGAGTTCATTGGTATTGGGCAGTGAGAGCCACTTCAGTGAAGCAGTTGTAACCTGCTCAAATCACGTTGCCCATCTTCTTTTCTGCATGCTGACAAAGATATAAGGCAGAAGGAGGATGACCTAGACAACAGAAGAAACCCCTCTTAGTTTCTTTCATCACCACCTCTCTCTCCCTCTTGAGTGGCCTCCAGGTACATTAGCCAGCATGCACTGACTCAGCAACTTTAAAGACTCACTTTGTCTCTCCTCCAGATTCCCTTTCAGGAGTCCTTCCTCTACATATCTATGCCAAATATAATCATTTTTTATACCGCAAAAATAATCAAAAAAGGGCATGGCAAAAAGAAAGTTCTTGAACTTTTTGCCTTAAGGAAAAAGATATTCCTCCAGATATTTCTTCTGTTTGACAGTAGTTAAACTCTGGATATAAGCTAAATGTTCTTCAGTGGAAAAATGGATAAAGAAAGTGAGATTATGTATCTATCTGGTACAGCCATGAGAAAGAAGGAGATCCTGCCATTTGCTACAACCTGTATGAAAATACTATATGGTACCACTTAAGTGCTGAATTAAAAAAAGACAAAGAGAGAAACAGAAAATAGAGACTAGAATAGTGGGTTCCAGAGACTAGGGGGAGGGGTATATGGAACAAGGTAAGTGAAAGGATAAAAATTTTCAGTTATAAGAGTAAGTACTGAGGAGCTAATGTGCGACATGGTGACTTTAGTTACTAACATGGTATTGTAGACTTGAAGGTTGCTGAAAGTAGATCATAAGCATTCTCACCTCACACAGAGAAAAGAGTTAACCAATGTTATCTGTGTGAGGTGATGAATATATTAATTTTCTTGATCTTTGTAATCATTCTGCAATATATACGTAAAGCATGTTATCATGTTGTACACTTTAAACACATATAATTACATTGCTCAACTTTCTTCAATAACATTAAAAAAATAAAAATTTGTAAGTGTGTTTATTTCACTTAAGATGCAATGTTACTTTTAAAAGTATATACACACCTGAATAAGCTTATAAATTCAGCTTTCATTATTCCTAACTGTTTCAACAAGATACTGATTTTAGAGCATAAAGGGGACTTCCCAGGTGGTGCAGAGGTAAACAATCTGCCTACCAATTCAGGAGATGTGGATTTGGTCCCTGAATTGGGAAGATGCCCTGAAGAAGGAATGGCAACCCACTGCAGTATTCTTGCATGGAGAATCCCATGGACAGAGAATCATGGCTAGTTACAGTCCATGGGGTTGCAAAGAGTTGGACATGACTGAGCATGCATGCTTGATAAGAGCATAAAATTTGGGGACACAGAAGACAATACTGTAGAAAAATAGTAAATGAAGAGGTACGGTGAAATATAATCTGACTGATTCTGTTCTGCAGAATGCAAAATTGATGACAAAGACATATTTTGCCTTTTCATAATGTTACCAAATGCCAATTCCTTGTCTTTAACTTAGTGGATGTGTGTAAGTGACTGTTTACCTTATTATTTTTTTTATCTGAAGACATTTTATCAAAAACTGAACAAACTGCACACCTGAGTTTGTGCATCCATTTTTATGTGCATGTATCCCAAATATCTTTTTTTCATCAACTTTGAGGTATAAAAACTTGTGGTCAGTTGCTAAATAACTTCCAAAATTATTTAGCTTTCCTCTCTGCTGAAATTCACCTATGTCTGACCCTACACACACTCTGATCAAATATTTAGTTACAAGAAACATTATCAGAACTTGCTTTGTCTTTGAGTATCAAAAGGCACAAAATATGTTCCAGTTATTTTTCTGGTCTACTGACTCAACTGTTATTCATTATTTTTGCATTGTAATTTCTGTGGAAACAAACAAAGATCACTCACAATTCCTTTCATACTAGGTGCTTAAATTTGCTTCAGTGTTCCTCTCCTCTTTTCCTCCCACTTCTACTAACAGAATTATATAGCCACTCAAACTGAGAGCTTTTCTTTTCTTCTTAGGAAAATTTCCTTTAATAATAATTTTCAACAAATGGGAAAAGAGAATGGGCACACACAAAAAAAGAGGATGGGTCAAATATTTATTGAGCCAAGAAATGATGACACAAAACAATGCCTTTGTTTTTAAGAATGCCTTTTTAATAATTACCATTTTTCCTTCTCTGTGAAAACTGACTAGCTAAGATAATCTGAGTTTACTTCCAATTTCAGAAGTAAATCATAATAATGTTTTTTCCCTCAATTGAATTTTGAGTCCATTTTTCTCTTTTACAGTAACAGACTAATGGAACAAAACAATGAAACATATGGGGGAGAGTTTATTTTGCTTGGATTCTCAGACCAGCCTCAATTGGAGGCCATCCATTTTGTGGTCATTTTGATATCCTATCTTTTGACCCTCCTGGGCAACACAGCCATTATCCTGGTCTCCTGCCTGGACTCCAAACTTCACACACCTATGTATTTCTTCCTCACAAATCTCTCATTTCTTGACTTTTGCTTAGCTACCAGCATCGTCCCCCAGTTATTGTGGAACCGAAGAGACCAGCCAAGACCATCACATCAACAGGCTGTGCCATACAACTCTATGTGTCCCTCTCACTAGGTTCCACTGAGTGTGTTCTCCTGACCATCATGGCCTTTGATCGCTATGTAGCAGTCTGCAGACCTCTCAATTACACCAGTGTTATGCACCCATCATTTTGTAAGTCCTTAGCAGGAATAGCCTGGCTGTGTGGAGTAGGAAACACTCTTATCCAAGGAACCATCACCCTTCGCCTTCCTCGCTGTGGACATCACCGTGTGCACAACTTCTTATGCGAAGTGCCTGCCATGATCAATTTGTCCTGCACTGACATCCATACAAATGAAATCCAGCTTTCTGTGGCCACATTAGTTCTCCTTCTTCTTCCTGTGGCATTGATATTGGTCTCTTATGGATTCATCGTGCAGGCAGTGTCNCAATTTGTCCTGCACTGACATCCATACAAATGAAATCCAGCTTTCTGTGGCCACATTAGTTCTCCTTCTTCTTCCTGTGGCATTGATATTGGTCTCTTATGGATTCATCGTGCAGGCAGTGGCAAAAATTAAGTCATCCCAAGCTTGGCGTAGGGCTCTAGGGACCTGTGGTTCCCATCTGCTGGCAGTGTCCCTCTTCTTTGGGACCAGCTCAGCCATATACATTCAACCAAAGAGATTCTATGGCCATAGCCAGAGGGAGTTCCTTACACTCTTCTACACTGTTGTAACTCCCACCCTCAACCCCCTCATATATACTCTGAGGAACAAGGATGTGAAAGGAGCCTTGAGAAGGATGCTGAGAATAGAACAAAATTCCTAAGGAAAAAGAAAAGGAAACGGTGACTTTTCATTGAGGAAAATTATTGAAGAGACCTAAGATTGAATAACTACTCCCAAGTGACTGCTTACCTTTCTGTCTTACCAACAATATGGCTACTGTGGTTTAGAAAAAAGAAGCACATTTTGATTCTACTTGTATATCTCATGGAACTTCATCTGTGTGTATGTGTGTGTTTTATAAATCTATTCATACTTTCTTCTACTAAATGTCTTTAAAGGGCATATCCCAGAATAGGGAGATTTAGTGATCTACCCAATATGCATGTGCTTACATATTTGATTAGGGAATTCAATAGTGTTTAATATGAACCAGAAAATGGAAAAGTATATGTTAGCATGAGGTGATTACTGTTGTACTTCTTTTGTAAAAGAGCCCTGGTGTGACACTTTTAAAACAGTCTACCTCGGAATCCCAATTCTTTCAAGAAAAGAAAAAAAAAAACTTGAAAATATGGGCTCTTTTTACAGTAATGTACCAGATTTGTGAATCTATTTAAAAGCTATTAAGGAAGAAAAAGGTTTGCTTTTAAATGAAAACAATAGACATAATTGTTAAATAATTATAGAAGCTACTTAATAATTTAATGAAGTACTAAAACTTAATGTAATCTAATTTCAAATGGACCGAGGGGCCACAGGGCAAAACCTTGTATTGAATCTTACTCGATGCTGTATTTCTTCTTTCAGGGTCTCTGAAATTGTAAAACACATGGGTTCTGAAGCCAGCTTTGTAAAACGTTTGTTCTTAATCTCTTTGTTCCTCCATTTAATCATCTCATAGGTTTGCAGAATGTTGCCAGGGCAAAACCTGTGCAGAGGGAAAAGGAGACATTAGGCAGGAAAGTTTAGTTGACTAAATGGATGAAACAAAATTGGCATGACTTTGATAATTTTAAGGTGCTTGTTAACATACATGAGTTTATATTAAATTATTCTATATCCATTTTCCATATTTGAAATTTTTACACATTAAGAGCACTAATATCTTGTTCACTGTGTTACTGATTTCTGGCCTCATTTGGTTTTTTTTTTTAGACAAAAGGCTCTTATGCTTTTAAACTTAAGAAATGTATTCATTTATTATTCAATATATGTCAATGTTTTATAAATGTCCTGTGTGTTCCTGAAAAATTTTGTATGTCTTCATGCCTTCAGTGTTTTCACTACATTAATTTTTCAATTTTTGCTGTGCTATCTATATTTTCTATATTGTGATTCATTTATGTTCGTATATCTTTTCTACCAGTTATCCATTCAATTCTGGCCGTGAATTTGCCTATTTCCTTTCTTACATGTTAGGTTTTGCTTTATATTTTAAAGTTATTTGATAGAAAGCATTTTAGTTAGAGATTATTATAGCTTTCAAGTTAACTAAATAGTTTACATTATGCAATGTCTCCCCTTCTTCCTAATAATAGTTCTTCCCTTAAAGGCTACCCTGTTTGATACCAGTAAGATCATGCCAGTCTTCTTTATTGGCTAGTATTCACATGGTATGCCTTTTCTGTATTTTTACAGTGCATCTTCTTATAGACTTGTCTTATTTTTTAAATTACTCTACTACATGCAAAAGGAATATATGGAAAGTATTAATGTTCTATCCTAGTGTGGGCATAAGGATATCATTTTCAATAGCTTTAAAAATTTTATTGTATAACTAAAATTGTAAGATTTTAAATGATTTGGGTAATCTTATTGCTTAGTAAGCATTTGCCTGTCCTAATCAATCAGTGAAGTAATTTGATTTGACTCTAACCAGTTTTAATCATTAATGTCAATAAAATTTTATCTTATGAACAGAGATATAGAAAGTTCACTTAGATGCCACTTGTTAACCTTATCAATGCCTCCTAACTAGATCATTTATTCTCTTCTCCAATATAGTTGCTTTTCTTTACTAATTTATTCAACTTAGTACATCCAGACAGAATTATTTATCTTTGTTAAAATGATTGCAAGGGTTTAATCTCTATTAAAAGAATTAATTTTTTGGCAGCAGCACACAGCATTTGGGAAACTAGTTCCCCAAAAATGGATCAAACCATGCCTCCTGCTTTGGAAGCATGCAGTCTTAACCACTGGACCACCAGGGAAATCCCTATTTAAGAAAACAGCAGACTACATTTATAAAACCAAAGCATGTTGCAAGTATATCTAAGCAGTCTCCAGAATTAAAGCCAATAAACTATTGATAATATTTTATTAAAAAATAGCTATGTGGATATGTGTAAATTAAGGTCAACATTTTTAAACTGAACATATTACCAAGGTTATAAAGTATGTTATTAGAATAGATAAAACTTTATATTAAATACAAAGAGAATTATTTTATAAAGTTATGATATCCATAAAAGGGAATAACATATAGGAGGCCAAATACATGTCTTGGTAAAGAAATCTATATATGGTGACAAATATAGATATTTAGATTAAATGACAATACTTTAAAATTCTAATACATATTTGCTTAGATTCCAGATAGAGAGTTAAAGAATTGATCAAAAGAGATTAAGATCCATTATGTGAGGACAAGAGATGTATAAATGAGAAATACTCTGTCTCATGGTTCCTATCTCTTCGAAGCTTTCTCTGTGGGTGGGAGAGATCAGAAATATCCCTGGATTTACTTAGTCCCAGATGCCTCTAGTAAATGAACAAGAATCAAGAATCCCACTGAAAGAAAAACTGTTAGGTAATTGTAGGTTTTCCAGTGGACCTTTATGCTTCTATGTAAACAACGGACAGAACAGCTACGGTCTATGGAACTATTAAATGAGAGATCTGGAAAACAATAGAAAGTTCTCAAGAAAGTTCTATCTCTATGAGGCAGGTGATTTCTTCTGTGATGAGAAAATAGATCTGTCATGAACATATCCGCCCTGCCTTTAGTTAATCCCTAGAGCAATAATTCCAGGATTTGTAAAATTATAATATGCATACATATGCACCGCTATAAATATTTATTTATTTATTCATAGAATCTTCAGAAAACAGCCAAAAGAAAAAAGAGACATAACATTTCTGGAAAGGAATATGAGAAGGATATAGAGTAGGCAACTTCACGATGTCATTGAAAGAAAATTTCATACCATTTTATTCAGGAGATTTAGCTGTGATCTTTACAAACAAAAGGAAAAACCAAACCTAGACAATGCTAAAAATCCTTAATATCTGAGGGATTGCATGAGGATATTTCACATTTCTCCCTAACTTGAGTCTCTTCCCAGCAACCTTTGTAGTGCCCACTTAGCTTCTTTGTTTCTCAAGGTGTAGATCAAAGGATTAAGTGAGGGTGTCACTACAGTGTAGAAGAGGGTGAGGAATTTACTGTAATTCTGGGTGTATTTGCTCTTGGGTTGAATGTAAATGGAAGTTAGAGTCCCAAAAAACAAAACCACAACAATTAGGTGGGACCCACAAGTCCCAAATGCTTTCCTCCTGCCTTCAGCGGATTTTATCTTCAGCACAGTCCTAACAATGCAGAAATAGGAGACCAGAATAAGCCCCAGAGGTATCACCACATAGAAAACAAAAGCTATGGAGAGCTCATTTTCCAGGAAGGTTGTGTTCACACAGGCAATCTTAATCAGGGCAGGCTCCTCACACGTGAAATCATCCACCACGTGGTGGCTGCAGAGAGGCAACTGGAAAACAAGGACGGTCTGAACCGTGGACCCCGCAAAACCACTGATCCAGGCCAGGGCTGCTAGTTGCCGGAGAAGCTTTGGGTGCATGATGACTCCATAGTGGAGGGGTCGACAGATAGCACTGAAGCGGTCATAGGCCATAACAGTCAGCAGGATGCACTCTGTGGAGCCCAGCCCCAAAGAAACATACAGCTGGATCACACAACCAGTGTAGCTAATGGTCTTGTCAGGCCCCTTGAGATTCCAAAGCATTTGTGGGACAACACTGGTGGTGAAACAGAGGTCCAGAAAAGAGAGATTGGAGAGGAAGAAATACATGGGCGTGTGGAGTTTGGGGCTAAAGTACGAGACCAGTATGATCGCTGTGTTCCCCATCAGTGTCAGAATGTATATGATAGAAACGACGAGAAGGAGAACCATCTCCAGGTGGGGCTGGTCAGAAAAGCCCAGTAGGATGAAACCTTCCAGAGTGCTAGCATTTGTTCTTTTCATTGCTTAATTGTGAGTCACCATTCTTGGTCATTTTTATTTTCTTCCTGTGGGAAGAAAATCAGATATAAAAGTTAGTAGAAAAATAACTAACTGAGTAAAGTGAACATTTTGGCACTGATTTTTATATAGAGAAAGAACAGGCAAAATAAAATTGTGCAAAATAAAAAATGTAACATGTTGACTTCTTATACAGAAAGAAATATACAACGTCATGAAAACACCAATGCTTTAAAAAATATATAAATATAGATTAGAATTGAACATACACAAAGCAGGTTTGAGATGTATCCCAAATTCTCTGAAGATAAAATATACAGGCCATTAATGTGCATGGTGTGAAAGCCAAAGAAATTGAAAGAAAGATGATGGTTACACATATGGATAAATGATAGATAATAGAAAAGATAAGTTGACAAATACATTGAGAGAGCAAGAGTCTAACAAGATACACAGAACTGGAGACCTAAAGACAAATTAAGAAGAGTTAGAATTTTCACATTGCAAGTGTTAGATATGGTTATCATTAATATTCATTCTTTTTCTGTGAAGCAAATAATTATTAACCTGATAATAGTGTTAAAAGGAAACTTCGGTGATCTCCCTATTTGAGTCCCTAGTCTGTCAACTTTCTAGAGAGTAATACTTTCTAGTATTTACTTTATAGAGAGTAAACACTGCTCTCTAGAAAAGTCCACTTTACAGTCCCTAAAATAGCAAACTCTTGCCCCTAGAAGCCCCTCAGTTCACATACTTTAATGTCATTTTATTACAAGAGTATACAAATTCAGCCACCTAATACAATGTGTTGACTTCATTACAAGTAAATTATGTAGAACTTACC